AATTATCTAAATATCTCACCGTGCGGTCGTAGAGTTCGTCTTTCTATGCATTTTTTATTTGAAAGTTTTTTGGCTATATCAAACGGTAAACGCGTTCTGTTGAAATTAAATTTTTAGCCCTGAGACTACAGCCTTAATATATTTTTCTATACCAACACTTTTCATAATACGATGACAAATAATCGGCCGGTCGTAGCGGTATAAAAACACGTCTATACAATAGTCGACGTGTTTCTGTCTCACTTTTCAGTAGAAGCGAAACATCTGTATTTTAAAGATGCTAAACCAAACACTTTGCGACCTCTACAAATCAGAGAAGGAACTATACACATTTTTTTATCAGTTTTTAGAACCCAAGTAAATTGAACGGCCACCATAAGTGGTTACGAAAAACTTCATCTTCGTATTTAACGTGGGGGTTAACAGACTTTGAAAATTTAGAGACTGGAAAGATCCCTGGTATATGGCGTCAACGACAGTCATCTGGTCTACATCAGATTCAGAACATTGGTAGTAATAATCCCTCAAGAAAAGCAACACTAATACGAGATAGATACGCTGAATATTTTACAAATTCCGGAAAAGAACCGTAGCAAAATGATATGATTTGAATATTGCTAAGATAATTAAACATTTAAATATATGTTTGTATATAAACATTATACACAAATAGAATAATAATTAATAAATACTTACCAAAGTATCCTTATTTCTCTTATTTCCACAACTGAGTGTAGAAACCGATTAGCCACAGTATACCATGGTACTGTGGGTTTTGTTTAACAAGAAAAGCTCTGCTGGTGAAACATTATGTTCCCCAAAAAGAGTTTTTATAATCTAATTACAGTATTAGATTATAATATAAGTATAGTTATTATATCTGGGTTTAGATTTACATGTTGTACTTCTAATTGAATGTTACATTGTTTTGTAATATTTTGTTTCCATACCTGTTAATTAAATCGAGTTTTCTGGAATTCTTTATTAATAAAACAAAATATGTCTATTTCACAATTTCATTGACATATGTATTTAGAATTATTTACCAGTAAATAAAACTGAAAAGATATGATAATGTTGTTTGAACCGAAAGTATTATTTATCGTTTTATTATTGAATTTAATAATCGTCGATATAACATTTGGCGAATCTTGTGTTCCTACAGTGAAATTTATTGATTGGTATATTTCATTATATTTTAACCGTTCAAAAATTGTTTGTAAATAATTATTTTTCAGCAAACAAAGTACTGGGGTTGATAATCCAATGTCGAATTTAGAATTTGATATGGATAGTCTGATAAATATCAACGTGGAGAAATCTTGTAAAATGTCTACCGTTGCGATTACATGGACATTATATAATTATGGTAATAAAACTGAGTGATTCTATTTCAATTTCAATTAATTGCCAAAAAATACACCATTTTTGCAGCAACTCGTGAAGTAATAAGAAATTTGGAAGAATTCACAAATGGATATTTTGTACATATATATGCCGGTACATTTCCCATTAATTGGTACATATTGGAAGTGACAGTTAAGGAGCGAACTTTTGGAAAAAATACTGGATCAGCAACAGCAGAAGTAATGTATAAATAAAATTTATTTTTGTAATCCACACTAACGCATAAACTTAAATAGGATAAACTTAAATTTACGATATAAATAAGATCAAAAATTATTAATAATTAATTTAATTTAGTGTTGGTTTCATATTGGTAAATCTCAACATCGGGCGAGAGGATACAGATTATCTTATAACATATATGAACCAAATAAAATCAGAGAAGTAATGTACGTAATTATGACATGTGTATACAGTATTGGTATTTTCATTTATTGATTCTTTTGATATGTTATAATAGTTGTTTGAAGAACTGCGAAGATGTTCAAGGAAAACGTGGGTTTAGTGTATTAGATATGCCGCTGCATTTTTACGTAGATATATCTTCTATAATGGAAGATACTAACCGAACGGGCACTTTTTATCCAGAAAACAATACGTATCAAGACAACATTAATATTATTATACCGGAGGTACCTAAGCTTCTAGAAAAAAGCACTGCAGGACTGATGCAAAACTGTTTAATTGTTCGCTTTGATAAATTTCATACTTTTGAATCGAGTAAAGAATTTATCGTAGTTAACGCTACTGATTCGTGTAAGTATATCTTTAATCAAGGTGTCCCAATGATATTATTTGATACATATCCATCATATAACTATACTAAGTAATGTAATTTCCTTAGTTTCTCAACTATTGTTTCTGGTTTCTATAAGGTTGACAAACTATAATTTCTAGATTGGATATTCTCTCTCCCAGAAGTAACTCTCTGCTTACGGCTAGTTGGAAGCTTTGTTTTTTAGGCTCACAAGGTCGTAACAAATCTAATCTAGTTTTTCAATTTTTCTTCATAAATACTTTTGCTGGAGTTTTGTCTGATTTGGTTTCTCTTGTTGCTCTTTATGTTAACAAAATCTCATAACGCTTCCTGATAACATGACTCGTAAGACATTGCTTTTAGGTGCCTTTTTAAAGTTGGAACGTATAACTTTCTACTTGGACTTTGCGTCTTGGTGCTACAATTTCTGTCTAATACCATTTCTGTTGCAGATATTCAGGAATTCTTGGGATTTAAAAATCGTTGCATAGCCGGAAACTAAAATTTGTAAAAGACCTGTTCTGCAAATTTTTCTTTTATCATATACAGGGAATTAATAGAACAAATGCATCTAGGCATATTATGGAAAGATGAATATCACTTTCCGATGACGTTATAACAAATTTGCAAAGAGATTTAATGAACTATTCAGCGCTAAAACAGGTCTTAGATGTAATAAATAATGTTGATGTGAAAAAGTAAGCACTAAAGACACTTCGAGGGTTTAGGGTCACCAGAACGTAACTTCATATTTTCATGAAAATGACTTACGAGTATTATAATGCACAAAATCATTAGAAAGTAGCTTCACAACCTATTTTGTAGTTTTAATTTTGTTTTGTAGTTGCATTAGCAATAATACCTATTAAATATTACATTTTTGGAAGTTTTCTTGAAAAAACAAATTTGTTAGTTACGCCTATGTGTTGGGCGGCCTCCCCCTGTTCCTTCTCTTGTGGGGTTTCCATTCACTTATGATTCGTGGAAGTCTTCACTCGTGAATCCTTCTACTGTGTCCGCAGAATTGTAGTTGGCATGTTCATAATTTCTCGTATTTTCTTATTGACATTTTTTTATTCTAAATCTTCTTGCCGTTTTTCTCCAATAACACTAGTTTACAAGAAAAATCTCGAAGACTGTGATATTTTTTTTATAACGTAGAATGTTGTGCTGATTCTGAAACTGTCTTCAGTTTTTCTCCATCACATCCAGTTTTCGAAATATACCCAAAAATGTGGAAAATCGTAAATTAAAAAACATAGTAACGGTTCATGTCCAGTATATTTTTTTTATTTTGTATAGTGTGCTTCTGTAGCTATATGAACATGAAAGTAGAAATCCAGACGAACATTTTGAGGTATAATGGCATAAATCGGACTCTCCGTTATTTTGCTACAGCCTAAAACAACTCAACAAAATCAATATGTAATATGAACAAAAAAGTTAGCTATTCTATCCTGTAGAACATTTAATTCTCTAAATTTCGAAGCATTGGACACCATGGTCGAATGTATTTTACCAGAGATATCGTTAATTTACGACAATCGTGCAAAATTTAATTTTTTACCATTTACACTGTATTACTGAAACATTATTACGAACAATATTTTTTAATAAAGAGGTGATTTAACTCTTCCAGGCACTAAGTATAAACATTAAATTCACTGAAATAAATATTATTATTTTTTAAATACAACAAACAATAACATTCTTAGAGAGAGTTTTTAAGAACTCGCGCGTTTACCTGTTAGACCTTTTTTGGCAAAAGAAATTCTCATTCTTAAAAAACAATCACTTTCTGTGAAAAACTATTTTTTAATAACTCCACTTCTTTATACAGTGTGTTCGTAAAGTAACGGATATTGGCGATAAAATCATTATAATCGGTTTATGGAAAAATCCCTGAAACGGGTCTAAAGATTTAAATTTTTTGCAATTGTTTGGTGTAGATTTTAAATCTCTTCCTCCATTTTTAAGTGAGTTATGACGTCATCGGTATTTTTTTCAAACGGCAATCCCTCATTTTTATTACGGAATATAAGAGAAGATTTTTTTCTGAATCTAATACAGTCAATATTAATATTGCTTACATAAGAAAATTTTCTAGAAAAATTACTTTAAAGTTTAACTACTTCAGATTTGTTGATATGCTGAAAATAGTAGTAGCCATGAGTAACTATGGTAACCAATTATTTTAAACAATTTCCTAAGTGTCAAAAACTGATTTAGTAAGTAGTTGACCTCTTTAATACAACATATCCTCGCCAACTCATTAGCCAAAGTATGGTGAGTCTAGCTGTGACTAAATTTAAACAACATGGCCATCTCTCGAAGCATTTCTCGAAGTCTGGCCTACTAAATGTTGCAAAGGAAGTTCAACAAATCGTGGTTTTGGCTGGGCAAGAAAACCCTTATGTTACTGTAAGGAGTATTGGGTCTAATTTCGACATTAGTAAAGAAATAAAGTAAACCTGATTCACGAGCAATGTATCCTTGTTTTAGCAACAATAATTTTGCAACGATGACAAAGACTTTGTCGAAAACATAATTTTTTCGACGAAGGGACATTTACATTGAGTGGACAAGTAAATAGACAAAGTTGTCGGTATTGCGCTACCCAAAATCCAAATTAGCCAAGAAAATCGCAGATCCAATATGCGCAAAAGATTTGAGAAAACCTTAAGTGGAAAGAGATGTTTAAATTTTTTCAAAGCGATGTCATTCCTTCCATCCCGATAATGTTGACACAACTCTATTCCAACGGCAGTTATTCCAACAAGATGGCACGCCACCACGCTTCAAGAAGCTTTACTAGATTAGTTTTTGACACTCAGGGAATTGTTTAGAATAATTGGTTGCCATAGTTACTTATGGCTACTGCTATTTTTATCATTATACAAATTTGAAGTAATTAAACTTTAAAGTAATTTTTCTCGAAAATTTTCTTATGTAACCAATATTAATATTGACTGTACTAGATTCAGAAAAAAATCCTCTTTCATATTCCGCAATAAAAATGGGGGATTGCCATTTCAAAAAAATATCGATGACGCCATAACTCGTTTAAAAATGGCGGAAAAAATTTGAAATCTACAACTAAAAATTGCAAAAAATTTAAATCTTTAGACTCGTTTCAGGGATTTTTCCATAAGCCGTTTATTATGATTTTATCGCCTATATCCGTTACTTTAAGGACACACTGTATATTAGAACCTTGTTTTGCTAAACAGTCTTTTGTTGAAATATTTTTTGGTATAAATGGAGAATATATTGTCATAATATTTAGGTCTTCTTGAGACACCTCCGTGATCTTTCGTTTAAGAAAATAGCAAAGTGTTGTAAAAGTTTTGTTGATAATGCCGATCCACCAAAACTTCCTTTCATTTCGTGTATTTCTCTCTTTTTCTCTATGTATGGCTTCTTTTAGGTGGTTGAATAGCTCTTGTGGTATCGTGGAAAGTTTGGTTTTAAAATGAAAGAGTTTCTTCCCAACTACATGTGAATGTAATTTGTCTCTTACAAGAGAGTAATCAATTTAAAGTATTAAGCAATAATTATTACTACGGTAATATGGTTCAACGGACGATGACCTGATACTTATTAATTAATTTGCTCAGCATACATTTTATAGTTTAAACGTTTTATAATTATTTAAATAATTCTGAATATGGATGCATTACTCTTGTGGAAATTTATCAGTTTATATAGATCTCGAATCCTCTCCTGATTCAAACTTTCTATATTGTACTATGTAATGCCCAACCTGTTTGTTATCCCACTTTGTTCTTTATGCTTATATTCTAGTTTTCTTGGACACATCCATACCTTTAAACACGCGTACCTCTGATGTCTTTAATTTGCTTTATTATTTTAGAATTATATAGTCTATAACTGTAAGTAATCTACACCAAATTCATAATTCTTAATTTATGAGTCTCACATAAGACCATGAATAATGAATAGTGGCAGTCTGGCTCCATTATTATTTAGATTTGCGTGTTTTCCATAACAAACTTAAACTATTTGAAAAAAACTTGATTTTTAAAAAAATTTTCTCTAATTTCGCATGTCTTACTAATATGTGGACACTTTACTTGGGTATAAAATTATAACTACAAACTACACATGCAAGTTGCATATACTGGCAGAAGATATTATTAATAAATTTAATGATTTAAGTACGAAAATTCGAAATAAATCTGTACTTAAAGTTGTTTGAGTTGATATAACTAACCTGGGAAACTTTTATGTTTATATTGACAGGATAGCCATAAAAGTAAAGTTATAATTCTTATACTATATGCGAGTTATCATAACAAAGCTCTACAATAAAAAAGTTTTTTTTTTATATCTTTGCAAATTTTTATGTTTTTGTAGTGTGAAAGTACTGAATGTGCTCTTGTTTTTTATGATTTTTACATATCTTATATTTTGAACAATTATCGGCTTGTTAGTAATAAAATTTATTTTCCCAGTCATGATTAGGCTTCTGCGCAACTTTTTTGCGCATACAAACATCACGTGATCCCCACTCTCAGACCCCTTGCCCCGCAGAATAGCTGAGATCTCAGTTATTTGACAATATTGAAGGACTTACACGATGAATCTGGATAAATTGTCATGTGTTAATATTTTGTTTCAATTACTGAATGTCCATTGTAATATATTTGTCTTGTTTTCTAAAACATGAGTTCGTCACATATTTGCGGTGTTTATATAACAAAAAAACAAAAAAGAAATATTACAGACTTTGTCGAGGAGACATTACTTATATTGAATATTGCAGTATTAAAATGGACAAACTAGATAAATCATAGGTTCCTCATAAAGTTTGTAAGTCCTGTGTTGAGTCTTTACGGTTGTGGAAAAGAGGAGACCGTTCTGGATTACACTTTGGTATTCCTATGATCTGGATGGAGCTTAAGAATCATTTCGATGATTGTTACTTTTGCGTAGTAGAAGCTAAAAGTTTTAATCGAAATCAATCGTGGTGATATCC